GGGGTGGGGTGGGGTGGGGTGTGGGGTGGGTGGATGGGTGGGTTAGTGAGTGAGTGAGTGAGTGACTGACTGACTGAGTAGGTGTTGTTTGCTTATGCTCAGCAATTTTCAATAAGCCCAAATGGCTTTGACCAAGCCGACATGGCTCTGATACGCTGTGATGATCTAGTTGGCTGCCAGGGGCACTGAACTAAACTAAATTGGGCGGGTGTAGACAGGTGCAAAACTAAAATGCTGATCTAGGCTCTCAAGCAGGAAGCCCCGGAACTAAACTAAATTCGGTTTTGCGGACGTAGAACCCCCCAATCTCAGTGATCAATAAGAAAGGGGGATGCGAAGACTGAGTGAAGACAGAAAACACCGTCAATCTTTGGTGTGGAGTTTGGGGAGGAAGCAAAGGCAGGGCGCTGGCTCGAGCTCCTCCACCGCATGGACCATGGCAGGTGAGGCCCCAAGGGCGAGGAGACCGTTGGCCATGAAGTCCATGGACACCTCGGAGACTGCCAGTCCTTCACTATGACTGCACGGAAGACTGCCTGGAGGCGGGAACCGAGAAGGCCACACTAAACTAAACATCGAAACGTCTTCAGCAAAGAGCCTCGGCTCGGAAAGCCAAAGACCGTCCTCCAAGTCGCATGATGCCAACACGTAAACTTCGTGTTGCGACGACTTTCACTTCCCTTTCCGCCGTGATCGGCTCACTGATGCAGAAATTTAAGCAACGGCTGCTCAAACTCGAGTCGATTTCTGGGCCCGGCACAGCAGGGCATTACATGACAACAAGTAGAAGCAATAAGCCCAACACATACGACCAGCGGAAGGAAAGCGTACTAGTTATTTGTGGTCAGTGGTACGAGCAAGTAACGAACAACTCCAACAGCAATAGCTCGAAGCAGCAGAAGCAACAAAAAACTCGTCATGACCTTTTGCATCAGTACGAATGGTGCAACAGCGCATATAAGGGGTTGAATCCCAGCGAAGCGGTGAAATAACTCCGAAGTTACACCATTTCCTGGTCGAGCAACGAAGTTTGTGAGGCATTGCACCAGCGGGGATTTTGCCTGGCAGCATGGTTCGCATGGCAAGGGCCTGCTTTGGCAGGGCCTTGTGAAGACGAGGGTGAATAGAGTAACATCATCGTACATCCAGTTGATTCCTGGTTGTCAATGTTGGTATTCTTGAAGTCCTCATGCTCCACTGTCAGCACCATGAATCGTCATCAACCGCATCGTCGCCACCACAGCATGAACAGCATTTGCGATCATACTGATGATGGTGCCACTGCTCCTGCTCCTCTCCGAATCCTAAGCCCGAAACCCTAAACCCTACAATCCCTACAACTGCAGTGACTACTGCTGCGGCGACGACGACGACGACGACGGCGACGAGGGCCATCAGAGGAAGGGGCCGCCCCCTCATGTCACTAATACATGGGCCTGATAATAACTAGACAGTCAGCAAGGGGTTTAGGGTATATTTGCGGTATTCTATAGTATACTGAACATAAGGACGACAAGTGGATTCTGCTACTAAGTACGACACCTACTTCAGCTTGACATAGCTTGACCAACCTAAGCATAAGCAAAGTCTACGCACAACGCTTGTCTCACTCTCTATCGCTCTTGCTGTCATTGTCGTCGTTCTATTCACGTGATCAACTGCAGAAATGCGAAACCTAGCACAGCCATGTGGTGAAGGCATATTTCAAGAATCATGCGATCGGTTTCAGTTTGCGACTGCTTGAAGCCCTGATTCCGATGTCCGAAAGGCTGTGCTCCGGTCCAATTGAAGGCCCGTGCAGGCCTTCACGGCCCTCACGATCTCCTGGAGTTTCTCGACAGATCCGTTCCTTGTGACTTGGGCGGGGCTGTCGAGTCGAGAGTCACGTCATGCGTCCCTGGACTCTCTCACTCCTGCTTTGCGACTTGTTGCCGCCCTTCACCATTAAGATAACCCTAGGGGTCAGCGCAAACACAAGATTCAGGAGATGTGAGCTCTATGAAATCTTGCTACGTACTTCCGATCTGGTAGTCCAATCTCCGCCCCGGCACTCGTCCATAGCAGTTGTTCTGCCCGCACTGGCAAATATGGCGAAAGTGGACCCGTTTCAAGTCTCAAGCTGTGCACTGCTACGTGCGGTCGTCTGGCTGATTATGTCACAGATTTCGCAGTGGTCCAGCTTTGCTTCGGCGGCACTGAATAGCTGCATCTTCAGCAATTTGGGTTTGTCTCGATGGGCAGAGGTTGCTTGAGCTGACTTGGGCAATGCAGCTGCGCACAAGAAGGGAAGGCTTTTAGCGACCTCGTGCAAAGAGTCCTCAGAGAACTGTTGACAGCAGGGAGCCAAAGAAGCAATGACGAGCTGCTTGTGATCCCCAGTGACTCGTCCACGCCTTGGCCGAGAGATGTTCTGGCGCCGGGTTCGGATCCACAATCTTCTAGCCTTCCCTTTGCGCACCTCTGAGCCGGGCAGTCATTGGAGGTGCCAAGGAGCTGTGATGCCTGGTCCTGGCGAGGGGCCAGAGTCTGCAGCGATGCTTTGGTGCAAACCAAGCCAGGAAGACTCGGATCGACTCGCCAAAGGCCTCCAGCCGGCAAGACACCGCATCACACTGCAACACGAGGGCAAAGGCGACCGGTGCCTCCAGGCCGCTGGAGCCTCCGCCGCCTGAGCACAAAACCGATGGGGCATCGAAGGAAGAAACGGATACGGGTGCAGTGTCGAGTTGCTCCTTTTGTCCTCTCTATTGATGCCACTGGTTCAGCGGGAAAACATGCGTGAACGGCCGCTGGCCATGAAAGTTGCTGCCACATAATTGGGGCATAGAGTGCTTGGCCCCATCTGCAGTAACAATCATGTCATGTAGCTAGCCGGGCTAAACTGTGGAAAATTCTTCGGTAGTCTCGCTCCTTATGTCCCACCTTGTACTTCTGGTAATCGTACCCAACTTCCAAAGCAGGCTTGGCAACTTGACAACCAGCCCAGGCCACTGCACAAGATGTTAGGATATTTCTGGGAATTTGGCCTCTGGTTGCAGCGCTTCTTTGGGGCCTGACCAAACTTAGGTCCAGTGACGGCCCAACTGGGCTTACTCTTGTCTGGGCATCGGAAGCTGCATAATCTCATGCCTTTCAAGTCTCAGCGTTTCGAAGCAGTACATGAATACATTGACATGCTAATGATGGAAGGCGTGAACCTCAAGACCCAAAGCCCTCCCGGAACCGACTGGTTGAATCTGGCGAACAAGAAAACCTTACTGCGCACCCCTTCCAGAAGGAGCCCGACAAAGAGTTGGAAGGACTTTCTAATGGACTTCAAACATGTCTCTTGTTCGGCCCTTTGCGGTCCCGAACCTGTTTGGTGCGGACATCCGGGCACGTCATGCTGTGGGCTACACGACAGTGAAGGCTGCTGGATTGACTGAGAGGAGTCAAGTCATGTCCTGCACAGTTCAGAAGTCGACTTCAGGTGCTTGCCAACTGCACTCGAAGTTTCTTAGCTGGCTCTGGACTCTAGATGGGATCCTCGAACACTTCTCACTTATGCCCTCGAAGAGTCCGACACCGGGGATCTCCGGAAAACATGGGACAAAACTTGGCCGGGCTTCTGCGCCCAGTCTTGCCCTAACTTATGGGGCAAGGCCATGCGGACGGCAAAGCCTTGGCGGAGTTCCAACACGGCTCGCTCCACTTCCATGCTGTCGGCACGCGGTGCATGGGATGTCTGCACGACATGTGCACCCAACGCACGTGTCGGACCACCCACCTGCTTTGGTGTCCACATCACTAGCTAGCTGTAGTAGGGTTGATAAGCACCACAGTTTGGCAGCGGACGAGACGATCCAAAAACTTGCAACTAGACTAGATCTGACTAGCTTCAGGCCCTGCCTTCGACAGGCACGAAGCATCCTAAAGTCCTAAAGTCTCTCGCTGGCCAAAGAGCCAAAGCGAGGCACGAAAACTGCCCTCACCTCTCCTCTTAAGTAGAGATATGCTTACCATCCGCAATGGAGGCAATGTCGGGAACGCTCCCCATCAGCCACCCCTGACTCCTTGGCACCGCAAGGACAAGGGCAGCATACTGAAAAAGCTCACAAAGCAGTAGATAGTAGTCAGCTACCGGAGGTTCCGGCGAGCGCTGACTTGGGCCGCCGGGTCGGCCTTTGCACAAAGCGTGTGCACAACATGCGAGCTGCAAGGCTGCCATACCTGCGTCGGTGGAAAGACGAAGTTCACAAAGTCGAGGTAAGTCACTCCGCCTCGGTGCCAAAGGACTTATAGGCTCTACACGGACACTTGCAATCTCTCGGGAGCAGGCTCTTGCCTTGGCCTTGCACCGTCTCTCTGCGGTCGCGCGCACTTGATGGAACGTTCCCGCTTCGGAGAGTGGGCAAAGGTGCTGACAGACCTTATTAAGCTGCCGATGTCACTTCTGCGAGGATGCTTCAACATTTTGACATAGTTCCTGGCCTAACCCCACAACAAACTCAGGACTACACCGATGTTTTCTCTCTCCTTAGCATGCAGAATTTCCGGGAAGGCTTTGGAAGAGAATGCGTCTGACAGACGTCCGGTCCTCTCCGTCGAGAGACGGAAACAGTACGAGTCTGATTGTGGAAGAGCTTGCATCTTGAGACAACCAGACTCGAAGAATCCACAACCGAATCGCTGGCCACGTTTCACTCATCATGGCACTCAACAGTTGCAGTAGCTCCTCGCAGCAAGATAGGAACCCGCCGAATTCGCAGTGGTAGGCTGAACTTTTGGCTTGCCACGAGCATGCAAGGTCACCGAAACCTGCCAGTATGACCTGCCATGTCATGTTCGCGAAAACAGCGGGTCTGTGGGGCACTGACTTGTCCAGCAGAGAATTCGTAGCCCTCAGCCTCAACCTCCGAGTCTACCGACTACCGACTTCCGAGCTCAACTGCCAACTGACACATTACTCGCACATTCCAGGTCCTGCTTGCCGATTTTCGGGAAGGCCTACACAGCAATGCGCACGCCAGTAACACATCATCCTAATGCGCCACAAGGCATCAAGACCTGCTCTCTCAGAATGCTGTTGTTGAGCCGTGCCTTCTTGATTCCAAATTCCAACTCTACAGGGCTAATTGCCTCATCCTTTCAGCGAAACTGTGCGTCTGTCAACCTCAGAGCCTCTGAAGCGGTCCTCGTCAAGATCCCACAGCCGGAACACTGCCCACCTCGAGCGCAATCGCCATCACGCCCATGCATGCACTTGACCGTCCATCTCGCAACAGCGTGGAGCAACAGAAACTTGGGATCTCAATCTTCAAGCAGCTGCTCTTCTGAAGCGAGGTCTCAATGTGGAAGTTTCCGAATCGCCACCCCATCTCCTAACTTCCCGCATACAAGTGGGGACGTCACAAGGGTTCAGAGTCCTCCGTGTCCTCGTCCACCTGGTAAGCCAGACGGGTCACGAAAACCGATCCAACAAGAACAGGCTGATTTGTTCGCTGATGTCTGTTGTAGACACTCGGTACATTAACCAACGACGGCTTGCAGTGAAAATTCGTAATTAGTCACATTCACGGCATGCCCTGCGGATCGACCTGGTTGACGATCTCGTGTGCCTTACCCACATACCCACATAGCCTTGTAGAAGTTTACTTTGAAGCTAACCTGACAAGCGCGTGCGCGCCTCGTCTTTGTGATCCTTTCGGACCCACTCTACCTTGTGCACTGAGAAGCCAGGGCTGGGGTCATGCCTAGTTAGCAGAGTACCAACAGTGAACGTTCGCAGAAGGCTGCAGAACATGAAACTGAACTGTAAACATGCAACACTACTGAGAGCCGTTGCCTGCAATTGGCAAACCCTCTAGCCAGGGCCCGCACGAATGCTTTAAAGCTGACGGAAGTCCCATTTCCAAGAACGGCGAAGAGAAAAGCCTCTGAATCAAGCTCTCTGATGGACGGGACTTGTAGGAAGCTGCGGAAGCTGCTCACTCGTTGGACGAGGATCAACTCAAAGGACTGCCAGGGCAACAGCATCCGCGTGCTCGGGCCCCTGCCCTCTCGATCGCGACTTGATTTAAGTGGGGGTATGCCCGGCGGACCATCAAAGAGAACTCCTGAATAGCTTCAAACCACGAACATAGTCGACTGGAGCAGGATGCTACAGGTGGTGGCTCAGGTGCTGGAGTCTAGCTCAAAGGCCGAGTCGGAAGCCAACGGCCTTGGTGACAGCCAACTGCTGCCAAACTGCTGCTTTGCTCAACTGATTGTCGCGGTCCTGCAGGCAGGTGGCTTTCCTTGCTCACCATCCGAAAGCTTTCGGGTGCTGCACTTCCAGCATTAATGTGCAACGTACTTTGGATGGAGCATCTTGAAAGGCTTCATGAACTTGGTCCCTGAGAGGTGGCTCTCGGATCAATCCAGAGTCTGCCGGGAAGCAGCCCACGTCTAAGAACCTACCACCCTCCGAACACCCATGGACACCCTGGAGCTGCGCTTGAAATCTTTTCTCAAAGCTGCGGCTGCCTTGTCCGCCAGGAAGAAGCTTGCCTGCAGGACCTCAGTCAGGAGATACATAACATAACACAGCCATCCAGCGATCAGAGCCCACGAAGAACCGCCGCCTTGTGCCTCAGCCCCTCGAGATTTTCAGGCGTCGCCTGCATCGTGCAAGTGTGCATGCCAGCTTTTATGGGCTCCCAACCACGACATGAACAAGGCCTTGGGCGAAAGGCTGATACTCGAGCAGGGCGAAGAACGGGTGGATCTGCACGGACCAGCAGCACAGGCTTTTTTTGGATCCGGTCGGGAGTTGGCGGTCCCTGCATGTGAAGAATAGAACATGCACGTGCTTTAAGACCACGACGCCGTTGGCGTGCCAGCACGAGATTGTGGCCAAACGATGGGCAAGTCGAGCTGAATGCTCGGCCTCTCCAAGGTATAGAACCCGGAAGCTGTGCAGAAGCCGCCGTCATCTTCTGTGCCCTCCAACAACCTTTGAATCTAAAAGACCCAGCCAACAATGCCTTCTCAAGCCGGCTGGTCCAAGCCTTACCACTCACGCATACCAGGAACTACTACCACACAGTCTCTATTCTGCCTGTGTAGCTGCTTGGGTCGCAGATTGGCCGGCTTGTTGTTGGCGATGCTGGACTGGCTTCACGTGCATGAATGAAACGACCAGTGAAGACTCTTCCCTGTGACAAGCGTGAATCGAGGGTTGGTTGCTATGGCCCTTCACGACACAAGGTTCTGGCAACGTCCGCTTGGGGGGAGGGTTCACTTCAGGCCCATTCCACATTCAACCCAAAAGCTCGGAATCAGCTGCGACAGTTGCGAAATTCAAGACGAAATCCTTTCATCCCGAGCGAAGCCAGGCCCACTTTCAACACCGGGGACCGGGCCAAGTAAACCATCGAGCACAATGGCAGGTCTCTTTGAGAATGTATCCGCCACGCTCGATCTCTGTGGCTGCAGGGCATCTAACTGAAGCAGCCCTTAACCCCCAAGCCTTTCATTAACACATTCCAGGCGGGCTCAGGTCTGGTTACATCCGAGAGGCTGCACGACCCCCAGAACTGACCCCCAGAACTTCGTAAGCTCTCCGCCGAAGAGGCTGCGAAGCGTCTCCATGAGCCGCTGTGGAAAGCGTCCGGTTCACACAAAATCTACGTCGACTGAAGCTAATTTCGATGCGAAGCCGTGGGTCCAGTGTGTGCAGCCCTAGTGATCTCGTAATTTTCGTAATCAAGTCCAGGGCCCACGCTTGCGAGCCCTGCAAGGCTTTGCAATTGAGGTGGCAATCAAACACACTGGTCAACGGATGGCTAAATGCGGCTGAATTCAACGTCTGCTGCAAGCTCTGACCGCGAGCCGAACGAAAGCACCACACAGTCGCACAAGGCATGAAGTTAGGCTGCCGGATCAAAAACAAGAAGGGATTGAAAAATCAAAGACTAGTGACTAGTTCTGACCACTTAGATTCCTTAGCGACCTACTTAAGCCCTGAGCAGAAAGAGACGCACAGCAACTCTTTTACGTCACGGTGTGATCGGAACGGAATGCGAACGTGAAGTATAGCTCAGGAATGCGACATGAAGCTTAAGCCGGTCGCTAAGGAATGCAGTGCAGTGCAAGCAAAGACGCTAAGCTTTCCAAAGTAGTACAAAACACACGTGAACAGAAAACACGTAGCGTTCTCACCACTTAGCTTCCTTAGCGACCTACTTAAGAACTGAGCAGAAAGAGACGCGCAGCAACTCTTTTACGTCACGGTGTGCTCGGAATGCGAAGGTGAAGTATGGCTTTGCTATGCTTTGCCGAGGTAGCCCCCACTTTAGCTCCGAGCACACCGCTGGACTACAGGCCCCCCTCCGTCGTGCGGTGCAGGAGCGTCCTGTCAGAGAAAGGTTCAAAAGCTTGAATGCTGAAAGTGCAAGAGTAAGCAGGCTCTGTTTATGACCTCCAGGCGCAGTGCCACTCTGCGTCCTCGGGATGCAAGTGCGCTATACCCACTGGCTCTGCGAGCAATGCGAGGGGCATCGCCGAGCGTTCGTGGAGCCTGTGCATGAATCTGTGCAATTTATTCCGACTCATTTCGTCGGCCCAAGTTTTAAACTCGCCGGCTAAGTGCGTAATCTGCATGCTGACGTGATTGCATGCAGACCACGTGGCCACCAGCTTCAAGAAGTCACTGAGCGGTGGCGTGGTCGTGAATAGCTTATTGATGCCTGCTTCTGCGCTTGTATTGTCACATGCGGAAAGGAGGGAGAACCTCCAGCACTTTGCTTGCATGCGAGTTTTGGCCAACATTATCAATGCCAGCTGTGCCAGCGTCTCGAAGCATGCTATATACTTCTGCGGAGCCTCCTTGAGTTGGGGCCAGTACTGTTTTACTTCCGATATATCCCATTGCTCTGCGAACCAGGCGAATTGCGTGGAAGTGCTTATCCAACCTCCAATGCCCACCAGGTTGCCGTCTGCTCTGGCGTCTGCCGCTGCCATGCAGTGCATGAGCGGATACTGTTTGAGAGAGCGGATGCGGGAACTTAAAGCCAGATGAGAGCTGCTCTGCTCTCATTGCGCAAGTGCAGTTCGTTGCGATTTGGGTCTTGGAGTCGGACCCAGTGCGGCTTGTGCGATGGCGGCACTCTGGGTACCGAGCGTTTGCATGTGATTGCTATGCTCCCCACTTCCAGCACTTTTGCCCCCAAGGGGGGCCACATGCCTGCAGGCCTGTGCCTCACCGTGGCGCTATCATCTAAAGCATCCTTAAGGTATGCCACGATGATGCATGGACGCTATGCAGTGTCCCTTTGCCGCTGCGCAGATCTTTGTATAGAGCGGTGCCAGGTAGGGTCTGAGTTGCGTGCATGTGGTTGTTGCCCACATTAGCATCCCCAGTGCTCGTTCCAAAAGCTTGCGGGGTATCTTCCTGCTGCGAGCGAGCTCCTGAAGTTGCAGCTGCCTGCTGCCAATTGCACTGTTTCGAAGTCGAAGTTAAAAGTCCATCCACACCAGGTAATCTCGTGGCCGAGCTGTGCCTTTTTTCCAGCTGATTGGTGCGCGGATTGCGTAAGGAAACAAACCAAGAGCGCTAGCTGTTCCACAAAAGCTGTGCGTGCAAGGAGTGCCAGTAGGTTGTCCACATATACCCAAGCACGGTGGCCATGTTTGCTGAGCAGTGCGTGCACTATGCGTAAAAGCACGGCTCCTAGTCTTTGCCACCAATAGGCAGAGAATCTGGCCCCAAAGTGGCAGACCACATAATGGTAAAGTGTATTTGCTATGCGAAACAGCATGCATCCTTGGTCTTCGGTGCGCAGCTTAATGCCCTTGTGCGCTGCCTTGAAGTCAAGGGAAACTGCGACAAAAGCGCTATGCGGGTCACCATGCTGAAAGGTGCGGGCCACGTCCAGTCCTGATGGCATTGCGAGCTTCTCTGGGACTTTGCTTATAGGATTTGCATTGCAGACAGAGCTGTCTAAGACTATAGCCGAGGGTCTCTGCCCTCAGCAGTCACGATGTTCAGTTTGCCAACTGCAGTGCGTTGCGGCCAACGTGCTTCGGCGTCTGCGAATGGCTTGACCCAGCCCTGTGCGACTTCATGAGCAACGAGTTCCTCGAGAAGCTGCGGATTCTTTTCGGCTTGTGTCCAATTGCCCTGGCAGTGCAACAGGTGCAAGCCGTCTAGGTCTGCATCATCGATGGGTTGCTTTTGTTGCACCCACTGCATGCTTGATTCGAGTGGCTCGAAAATGCCCGCGCTGACGCCTTGCTCCAACATTGAGCACAGGCCTGCGTCCGGGTCCTGCGTCGCTGTGGCAAAGAGTTGCAGAAGGCCCAGTCTGAAAGGCTGTCCTGGCGATATGTCCGTGCATTCCTGTTTGTTGCATCCTGGGTGCAGTGCTTCGTGAGCCAGGCTTGTAATGCGAGACTGTTGCATTTCAGTGAAAGGATGCTCGTTCTCTCTACCTTCATGTAGGTGTTCCACCAAATGGAGGAACAGGTCTTGCGATGCGAGGTATTGTAGCCATCGCTGCGCTAAATGGCTTAACGCCGCGTTGCCCGCGGCAATGGATTTGTCGGCAGAGCTGTTCAGTCCTGCGCCATCGCAGACTGCAGGGCGGCGAGGCTGGAAGCTACCTGGGCAGTGCTTCTGAAAGTCTTGCCAGGGCACAGAAGCGTCCGCTCCCTCAGAAACAACCAAAGCTGCCAGGTCCGCAACCGACGTTGCTGTAAGGGAAGTACCTTGCAGCTGTGCCAATTCTTGCAAAGATGACACCGCGTGTCTCTTGCCACGGGGGCCTGACAGTCGCCAGCAACGCGCGTTGTTCGCCTTGCGGTTTCTGTTACTGCCTTACTTTGCAAGGTTTGGTACTCGTCGAGATATGCTGTCATCTGCAATGCGGTCCAGCTCGCCTCCCCAAAAAAGCCCCACGATGCCAGAGTATGCGAGCTGTAAGAGTTTGCGCGCCTCTGCATCGCCCCACAAGATATCCAGGTCATCAAGTGTTGCTAACGGGGAGGCAGTGCATGTGCTTGTCCACGACTGCCTGCGAAAACTCATGCTTAGCCGTGTCAACGCATACAAAGAAGAAGCGCTTCGAGGGCTCTGCGTGCAGTGCAGCTGTGTCTAGAGGATGCGTCTTCTCCGGACCCCGACGCTTCTTTTCCGGAGTTCTTTTACTGCTACGCTCCTTCGGCGCGGTGCTGAGCTGCGCAGTGCTGGGCTGCGCGTGCTGTGCACTCTCCTCACCAGGTGGGAGGTGCGTAGCCGAAAGCGAATCCCCGCCATCCTCGCTTCGGCCGTTTCAGGAAGCGGCAGCGCTTGTTGCGGTGCCCTCCGACTCGGAAAGGGCTTTGACCTTGAAGCGGTGCTTGTGCGCGGGGCGCTGGCCGCCGCACGCCTGCCCATTGGCGAGGCGCACTGCGCAGCGGTGCTCGAATTTGCAATTGGCATCCTTGTCATCCTGGCACTGAGGGTCTTCTTGCCGCGCGAGAGCTGTAGGTTCTGCATGGCCCGTGCCAGCTGTGCTTCTGCTGTCTGATCTTTGTCCACTGTGCGTTGCGGCCTGGTAGGGCTCCCAGGTTTGCCGGGCTTGACCTTGCCGTTGCCGTCAGGGCTGCGCGGCGCTGGCAGCTGCGGCGGGGACTGGTAAGTGCGTGCACGTGCCTGCAGAAGGTTGCGCACGTCGCCTCGCACGTGCGTGAGCTCGTGCAGCACCTCGTCGAGCGAGAAGTTCTGGTCCTCCACAAGCGATGCGACGCAGTGCCAAATTTTTCTATCTGCCTCTAACATTTCTTCCGTGATATAACGTTGCGGAGACCGTGTCCGGGCTTCCACGTTTGCGTGCACAGGTCCATAGCCATAACTTTAACATCGAGGGCCTTCCCAGAACCTCCATTACTTCTTAATTAGTTTAAAAGAGAATTATTAAGGTGTATTGGTGTGTATTTAAAAAAGAATTATAAACAAGGTTTTGCTTATATGCGGCGTGGAATTACACCTTATTTAAGAAAGGTTTTTTTAATGGTGTATACATGATCCATCGAACAGGCCAGGCCGACAGAACACCTTACTCATGCATGACCATGAGCGTGGACATCTCAATTTCCAATGCTTCTGTTCGAAGCAACAATTTCTTTTCTGTTTGCAACAGATCGTTTGGAAAGCAAAGGATGACATCGTGATTTCCAAAGCTTCTGTTCGAAAGGGGAAGAATTGGGCATAGTTCTGTTTGCTAAAGAATTGTTTGCAAAGCGCAAAGTGATGTGATTTGGGTGGCAATCTCGCTAATTCTCCAGGCATGCATGCAGTTCCTTCTTCTCGTGGTCGAATCATGCAAAAACCATGAAAAACCATGCGTGCACGTATAAACATGAATATATAGGATAAAATTCAAGCATGGTATATATATTATATATATAATAAACATATATAGCAATTAGAAATCAGTAGTATCAGAAGAAAAGTGGTGGCTCGATGGAAGGTATATAGAAAGTACAGTAGAAAGTATGTATACATATATAGAGTGCAGTATATTAGTGAATCGAGAACAAAAACTATAGCTAGCCTGCACATGGACGGCCGTGACATGCAGCCATATATGCAGAACCGTATGATCGTGACA